AATACTAAGAATTTATAAGATAAACATTAATTCTGAGACTCTGATAGTATTCCTGATCTACAATATGAACATGGCATGGTGCATTGCTGACTGCGACGACGACCACTTAGAAATTAATATTCAAAAACAAGTTCCCAGTTGGAGTTGAATGGACTTATCCCAACTGGCCAACTCTTCTGGTCCTTCATCTTTGAATGAAATCATTTCGATCAATAACCGTACAAACGTACAGCTAGCAAACCAAATTTGAATATCAATGGAATAACTTTGTGCACGTTTTGTTTTGCACAAGAGTGACAAGAATTTCTGGCCACTCGGTAATGTCAGTTAGATCTATGGATGAAGATGAAATATTTCACCTTAGATTCTGAAACTTCCTTTTTCAAAAGTTCAAAAATATCGATCGAGTAGATCGCATTTAAGATACGACACGGTTAAGTCATCTGCATGCCTTGGTTAACTATGATATCAACTTACTTAGTTTACTACTGTAGATCTCTTTCTATATGTTTAATATAGAAATTAATTGACATTAACAGGTTGATGTTTGAACTCAAAATCTGTAAATTGAGTTTGTAAATTGACATTAAGGGTTTACTTACAATGATGTTCAAGAAAAGACTATGGACATTGAGAATCCAACACAATAAGCTGGCAAAGACAACAAGAGTATCAAGCTTAAACTGCTGTTTCTTAAATCTGTAATAAGAAATTACGCTGCTTTAAAACGTGGTTGTTAAACTATATTTTTGTTGATTAAGTAGTACAAATAAGGATAGAAGAAATGAATTTTAATTCATGCCTAAACAGTGAGCAAGTATTCAAATAAATATCATCATGCATTATTATTATTTTTTTTTTTTTGTAAAGACAATGCCGTCTCAATCTTCATGTTCTTGATAGAAGCAAATTATTGAGTGTTAAAAGTCAGATTTGAGCACATGGGTATGTCATATTTTAAGCTCATCTAGTCAAGCATTACTCCATCAAACTTGGGTTTCGTCATAGACAAAAGTTTATACTTTATACCCATCAATTATCACATCTCTTCTTCTCACAATGATCTCAGTAAACTAAAATCTGCATCTCTTGTTTACTTTTAACGTATTAAGTAATGACTGTATCTTTTAATGGTAAAAGAATCATTCCAGAGAAAAAGATAAAGAAAAAGCGGCGGCTCATAGGAAATGGTGATTGGTAAATGTAGCATTTACCATTTCTGTGTGCGTATGTCTATTTTTTTTATTTTTCTTTTTTAATGGGGTATTACGATGCATGTTCTAAATTACAATTCTAATACACAAAGTTATTTCAGATTAGCGCATTCCATCCTAAGAAAACTTGAGTAGGCGACTCATTTATGAAGGATGAACATGAACAGGGGTAATGTGTAACGGAAACATGAAGCAACTGAATACTTCGGTATAATTTGCTTTGAATAGGGTAATGTGTAAAAACCAACCCAACTATCGAGTATTTAATAGGGTAGTGTGTTTTTCAGGACAGTCTGGTAAGTGCAATTGCTTTTTCAGATTAATTGCACGGCAAGCCAAACATTAATAGATATCACATGACATCAACTGTAATTTCATCAGAAAATTGGACTTCCGAACAAATCCACAGGCTCCATTTTTTCCAATATTAGACAAGGAATGAGGAATCCATGTTATAACTATACGCAGAATTACGGTTCTTGTCAACTGTACATCTTGGGTTTTCTTTGGGATTACTAGAAGATTGAATATAGCAATTGATATAGGCTAGGACCAGAGATATCACTTTCAACCGTAATAAAGAATGACAAATTCCAGACCCCTAGCAGTGTCGGCAGCCATAAGTGAAAACGTAAATACAATAAACTAATGTGAAAAGCAACCAGCACTGTTTTGAAATGCGGCCTAGGTAGACCGGTTGACCGGGAATCAGAGGCTAGGACGGTTTTAAATCATTAAAACCTAGTATATGCATTTAACCCACTAATTTAGGGGAAAAGAATCGATTGAAACCGTAATTGATGGATGCTGGGGTTTGATTTTGGTTCCTACCCAGAACTAGCCGTTAACGGATAGATTTCGATTCTAAATTTTTAAAACCGAAACCGAGAACCAAAACTAATAGAAAATAAAATTAAAGAATAAGAAGATTAATAAAAACTTTGGTAGAAAAAGTAATGTTTTATATTTATATTTTATAATATTTAAAGTAAGTTAGTTTAATTCCTGAAAATCGATATTTACAAAGTAATGGAGCTTGTAATTTGTAATTTTAGTTTTGTTAACAAGTGTCAGGGGGGTATTTGTAAGTTTTTAACAGTTTTTTTCTATTTTAAAAACTTTTAGGGGGTAATTGTAATTTTATAGGGTACTCGAAACTAAAACCATCATTACATGTTTCAGTTCTGGGTACCTAGGAATCGGAACCATCAATTCTGATTCCTTCAAAAAATGCAAAGTACTCGGAACCGAATACCCCTATCCAGTATGGCCCACAATTGGACCGTGGTTATTGTAGCTAACCACCGATCCAACCGGTTTTGGGCAAACCAAGTCAATGCATTTTGTAAATTCCCAAACCCATTTCAATTTTCATTTCTCACAAATTCAATGGATCTTCAACTCTTAGGCATCTTCAGCTCTTCACTCTTCATTGCTTGTTTCGATCAACAACATGTGTGCCAAAATCGTCTATCGTTGGCTGCCCTGCAGTCGGTGTCAGCCATCAAAGTTCGAGAATCGCGTTTCATTCTTCAGTTATTCACTTCATCTCACTTGTAATGAATAATGATACTTTAAGTTCATCTTACTTTGTTTCGTGCTGTGTATAAAAGTGAGTTTACTGTTTAGGAAAGTAATGGTGATTGGTGCGGTTTGCATATTTTACTGAACATTGCTCTCAAAATTGTGTTGAAATTATTGTATGTGTACAAACTCTTTCATGATTCCGATAAATACCACTAAACCTAAGAGACATGTTTATAATTTTCGTTGTCGCTCGTGCCCTTTTCATCACTGCGATATTTTTGACCTCCCATCCAGCCGATTTACAACTCCTCCAACATCTTTGAACCTGCAGCCAGCTGATATGCAATCCCCACTGCTTCTCTTGATTTTATTTTTATTTTTTTCAATTGAAAACTGAAAAGTGAAAACAACAGAAAACGAAAATCCACTATGCATTTAGTATATTTATATATGCTGATGACAGTACGGTGATGTCACCAGTCCAATCCACCGGTCCCACCAGTTCAATTGATTTATTGGTCAACCCAGCGCCTGGTCACCTCTCACCTGACCAGGTCATGGGCCAGATTGGTTATGAAAACACTGGGAACCAGAGCATAAATACGCACACAAAGTTACCCGAGGCGAGTGGATATGCTGGAACAACACTGGTAAGAAAATGCAACCATCTAACAATTGAGTTAGTGAGAATTGGAAACAGTAGAAATCAGAACAATTTGAACGCCAATACCAAAGTTTGTACTCCAACAAATGCTTTGATTTCTCCCATGGAAAACAGGTTAAGCAATGAGTATACTAACTTAAACTCGGCATTTCAAAATGTGCGGACCTCAATTCATTCAAACCAGACATGGATGTGCAATTTTGTGAACCTTATTACACAAAAAGTAACAAAACAGGAGGCTAAATTTGAATGTATTGGACATACATAACTCTAATACAACAAGAATTAGAAACTATATATATGAAGAGTAATACTAGCCTTACAAAGAGACATACAAAGAGACAAATCCAACCCTTAAAATTCATTATTACCTCTCTCTCTCTCTCTTTTTCCCTTCTTTTAAGGGCTGAATTTGTCTCTTTGTATGCTTCTTTATATGCCTATTTGTAAGACTAATATTACTCATACCTGAAATACCATGCTAATCCGATCATAATGTTTTTATAAGAACGCGGGCAAAGATACAGAGATAATGCCAGTCTCAGTTAGATCGTTCATTCATGTCCACACTTTATGTCACCACTGTGTTTTCATGCCAGCCTTTGTACTGAATGAACAGACTCGGAGAGAAACAAGAAAATGAATCAGAACACTTCCCAACTTAAAAGCATCCATCAAAAGTAAGACTTCTTTCTCACCATAGGCAAACATGACATAATAAATACCAGGCTACATCAGCAAACTACCAAAAAAGCATACAGACTGCACAAAGGAGGGTAGATTGATTATCTTGGTATCTACAATAAATATCAGGCTAATGACACTTTTCCAAGACCCTTAGCTATGCTTATGGCTCTATATTGATGTCTTACATATCAGTATCCCCACTAAGCTGGACCTATCATGGAACATCATAATCTTATGCACAAAATGAATTACGTTGCATATTTGACTTCATAACTTCAGACAACCATTTAGTTTGGACATCCTGATGCCCAACATAAAACTCCTTGAGCAGTCCACGACTTTATAACAGGAAATCTGGTTCAGAGTCCATTATTGATCTCGTAAGTGTGGAAAGACAAATATGTAAATAGCCGATGCTAGACTTGAAAACAAGAGGAATCTTACTCGTAGCTTATGTGATTCGAAGTGAAGTATCTTCCTCCTATAAGATATTCCAACATGAAAACTGCAATGCCCTGACCATTTTCTCTCCTACTTCGAGGTCAGGACTTTAAATGAGGACAAACCTCGAAATATGTCACTTAATCAAATAATCATCTTCACGTGCCAGTGCAAATAAGATATGTAGACTAGATGAAAACTTTTGAAATTTTTAACCACCTAAACTTAGCAACAGTACCTTCTTAAAACCACGAATTGCAATCAAACCTGATAAGTTTGAATCACTGGAAAATATGTCGCTGGCAAAAAGAGAAAAATATCTGTTTTAAAGGCAAACACTAAGGCCAGTCATGCTACATGTCAGTATGGATTTTATATCTATATATCATGTTAGCAAAGTTTACTACTGTTAACATACTTTGTATGATGAAACTTTTAAACTCATAAAAAATAAAAAGTAAATAAAAACTGTCTTTCAGCATAGATTGCAACAAGACCTAATACCAGAAAACCATCATGATGAATCTTCTTCAAGGCAACACAAAGAAACCTTCAGATGGAAAGGCTTCCCCTATTAAGGCACATGCTAGGATCCAGACACACTGTTATTTGATTGGCAGGAATGTATAAGAATAATTTGAGATTTAAGAGGCCTATGACATAGAAATGACAAGGTATCATATGAATAAGTTATTTCTCAAACACAAAAAGCAGTCAAAAAAGAGCTCGTCTACTTATTTTAATTAAAGAAGACAGAACTAGATTATTTACAGATATAGGCCGACAATTCATAATAACCAAGAACAGTTTAAGTTGAGAGTTGAAACAACAGATTTATTTACCACCAAATTAGAGCAAGCAGCACAAAGAGACCAATCAACAAAAGAAGATTCTTCAAAACATGGTCAGCTTGGTGCCCTCGATTTGGTTGGGATAAACCGTGATCATGGCCACCATGGGCTAAACCGTGATCATGGCCACCATGAAACATATTAACACCATAGGGAAAGCCAGCGGTTGTCCCATAAACAGCAGGATCAGTGAACCCTTGAACTTGAATATTAAACAATGATGGAAATAAACCACCGATACCCAAGGTAAAGTTGCCAATCCTAGCAGTTGCCATAGGTACAAATCCTCCCATGAATCCAAACCCATAATTGATAAAGTTACTGGCTTCTGGGGAAGGAGCTGTTTCAGGCCTTTGCCCAGACGGACGACTAGGGATATCAATGCCCGGATAAGATTTTGATCGTGGGTCAGTTGGGGATTTGCCCCTACCATAAAGAGGAACCAACTTTTCCTCTTGTATAATGGCCTTGCAAACTGGGCACTCATGGAAACGTGAGTGATGGTGTAGCCATCTGTACAGGCAAGGCCAACAATAGAGGTGGCCACAAAGGGTAACAATAGGATCTTGAGCTAATTCAAAACAGATATTGCACTCAAAATCACCAGCATCATTAGCATTATTGGCCGAGCAAGACGGGCTCTGGGTCGGCATGCTTGTTGATTCCCCGGAACCACTTGCCATTTAAAACCCAACCAAATAGCAACTTCCTTCAATTTCAAAATTTAAATCTCAGAACAAGTCACATATTGAAAAAGCTCTAGAACAAGATCGATTTCATCATAACAACAGCAATAATATATAATGTAGTTTTACCATTCCAGACTTAAAGCTCATTAAAAAGTTAGAGAGCAGAAATTTTAAAACACCAAGTAGTGCTCCCATGTGACATCAAATTAACAAACTTCATTCACTAAAAAAAAATTCAAATCAAGTTGCCATCTCTTAACCCTTAAACATCAAATACAACTACTTCTGACCTTTAAAAATCTTAACATGTAGATATTAATTATAATAAATTTACACAAAACCCAGAATATAAAACAATTAAAATCAACATTTACAGAATCATTAAATTCAAATGTAAATAACTCGAAAAAAATATCTAAAAAATCGTAAAATTAGTGAAGAGAACTCACCTAGTGATGGAGTGACAGGAGAAGCGAAAATTAGAAGGAGAGGTTGTGCAAAAGACAGGTAATAGTAATGAATGAGAAAATCAAAGAAAATAATAACATGCGTCGAAGATTCGAGGGTGTTCTGGTATTCCACACTATTTGTATTTGTATTTGGACTTTGTTCTATTTTGAGTTCAGTGATGTGGCCCACCTGGATTTTGCTCTTCCGTCGCTTTGGTTTTCGCATGCCTCTTACGTATTACAACAGGGCGAACGACTTGTACATACCCAAAGTTTACTGTAATGATAAGTTGGTACTCAAAAGGTTTTAAAACGACAAATAGGTACCTTCCGTCATATTCGGTTAGTGATTTTTGTTTATTAATAGTGAAAAGACTAAAATGCCCTTCAAAGTTTCAATTTTTGTTTTTTATAAATTTAAAAATTTCTAAAAAACCCCCTAGGTTTGCTAATTTAATTAAACACCCCCATATATAAAAAGTTTGTNAAAAAATATCTAAAAAATCGTAAAATTAGTCAAGAGAACTCACCTAGTGATGGAGTGACAGGAGAAGCGAAAATTAGAAGGAGAGGTTGTGCAAAAGACAGGTAATAGTAATGAATGAGAAAATCAAAGAAAACATAATAACATGCGTCGAAGATTCGAGGGTGTTCTGGTATTCCACACTATTTGTATTTGTATTTGGACTTTAATTCTGTTTTAAGTTCAGTGATGTGGCCCACCTGGATTTTGCTCTTCCGTCGCTTTGGTTTTCGCATGCCTCTTACGTATTACAACACTACGCTTCTGATTACTCCAGGATTTCATTAATTTCCACCAACCGTTCAAATATCAGTGCGGGTTTGTTTTATTATTTTGGTTGAAATTTTTGAAAAAATTGAGTTGGGTGATAATTTTCTTGTTGGGCTGATGGCTAGTGGATTATATTGATATTTAATGGGCTAAAAAAGCTTCATTTTTTAATTATTTTTTTAACTATAAAGTTGTCTCAATATTAAATAAATAAATTATATTAACTTTTTTCTTTGTTATCGAGGTGTAAGAGTTAGTTTGTGTATACCTTAACTAATTTTTTGGATCTATTGAACACCCTACAAACTCAAAAAATCAAGTAAACCACAATATTGTTGTGGTAACAAACTTCTTGAACCGCCAAGCCGACCCCTTGGCCTATGAGGTTATTTTAACTTTTTATTCTTTAAATGTATTTTGACATCTCCCTATTAGCTTATAATTTTTTTTTTATTTTTTATGAAAATAGATACTAAAGATAGGATTTGAAATATGAGATTTTGTTAGTCACATGTAAATTTGTATTTTTTCTTTGAAGTTTTGGTAGCTATTTTAATTTATTTATTTTTGTGCTGTTTAACTCTATTTTGTACTTGGGATTATTTGTAAGGATGTTTTTAGCTCTAATTTTTTCTTAACTTTCAATTTGGTTATTTAAAATCCTATTTTAAGAATAATGACTATGAGGGGTATGTAATGTAAATGAAGGGAATGAATGAAATGTTAACTCTTTTAAAATTAAAAAAAAAAAAAGGGGAACGAAAGGGCATTTATGAAATCTATGTGGTGTCATAAAAAATAAAAAATAAAAAATAAAAATAAAGTGTCTTAAAAATAGGACATTTTTAATCCATTAGTAGGGTGTTAGTAACTTCACTTATTATGTATACAAGATGGAGCCCATCATTAATTTGACAGGCTTCCAAATGAATACGGAATGGAGCCCATCTAATATTGGGCTTGACATTTACAAAGTGGGAAGCAGTACGTGGCATGGTTATTAGTATCCTACGATACTCGATACATATCATACGATATGATTCGATACATGTTACTAATAAAACGTGTCAAAGAGTGTATCCTAAATCTTTCAATACGTTGATATGTGTCTATTCGTATCTTTAAAAATATCGATACGACTTTATTAATTTGGGCCAAAGACCCAAAAAAAAATTTAGGTCCGAACCGATTCACTAAAACTTGTCCAAATTTACCCATTTTACATGAAGAAAGTGAAGAGAAACATGTGTTGCCTATTTTGCATGATAATAATAATACAAGTGGAAATATAGATATTGACATTGATCTTGGAAATGATATGAAAAGTTAAGAGAAAATGATATAGATTCTTAATTTTGTGATTAATTTTGATTATGTAATAACATAATTTAAAGCTAATGATACCACAAAATTCTTTAATTAATCTTGGGGATAATATTAATTTTTAGAAAAATTTTATTAATTTTTTTGAAAAATGTGTATCCTACAATATGATACGATACACGATACATGATTCGAAAAATTAGGTTTTCGATACACGATACGATACACAATTTGACAATCATGGTACGTGGTCAAAGAAGCTTAGGTCTAAATTAGGTCAAAGACAGTTTGTTTCCTTTTAAACAGTTGATAGATCCAGTCCATTTAATAACTCGAATAATACTATATCAACAACCTTCTCTTACAACCCTGACGTAGTAGCTTGTAATTGATAAGTTCACAATGGATCTCACATGAGTCTCGCATAGGTCCTACTAATTAATTACAAACAGACTAAATGCGAGTTGCCAGGGTTGTAAGAGGGTTGTTGATATAGTAATTAGATGTTGGATATTTATTAAAAGAGTTAATTACACTCACCTCCTATGAGGTTTCAACATCTCACATATGCATAGAAAAGATGAGCAAGTTAACATAGACACCCCACTCCGTTGCCTTTTGTTAGGGCTTCATAGACTAAAACGTTTCCTTACATCCCTTCAAACATAAAAACTTGCAGTTACCCCCCACTAGCTTACTTGTATTTCTTTTAAAAAAATTATCAAAAAATTTTACTTGTATTTCTTTTAAAATTTTTATTTGCAATCTAAACATTTTTTAAATATTTTAAAAATTGAAACATAATTTTTTTTTTTTTTGTAAACTAAGAAATATTAATTTAAAATATATTGTAAACTGGAAAAATAATCTAAAAAAATTAAAATATACTTTTTAATATACATATTTTATGTAATTTGAAAATTCAAAAATAAAAAAGATTTTAAAAAGGAGATCATCGATTCTAGTAATCTAAGAAAGTAAGAATGGTGGTTTTGGCAATCTCTATTAAATCTTAAATCTATTTTAATTTTCAAAATACTTTTTATTATTTTGAAATATTAATTTATAATTTTTTATTTTAACATTAAACGCTCTATTTTGTCATTAACTATAAAACCAAAAATGACAATAAGAGGTGTAATATAATAATTGTCTTATATTTCAATTTACAAAAAAAAAAAAAATTTAAAATAAAAAGTCTTTATATTTTTACTTTACAAAATATTTTAGTTTTTAATTTTTTATACTATTAATTTAAAAACAAATTAAATTATGTTTCAACTTTTTAAAATTCAAAATTTTTTAGTTCACAAATAAAATGTTGAAAGAAATACAGATGTTTTAATAAATAGTTAAATTTGTAATGCATTTTTGAAAGAATATCTAGGGTATATATGTAATTATAGAAAGAGGCATCATAAGATAATGGTTAGTTGTGGGGGCAACTGCGGCTTTTATGTTTTAGTGGTGTAAGGGGAGTTTTCAGTTAATGCAACCCGAGAGAGACAAGACTGTCGTTTTAATCTAATCATCTTTCAATACGCCTGTGAAATAGCAAAACCGAGAGAGAACAGTGCAATTAACTTTTTATTAAACGAGTGGACAGAAGTGATTGATTTGGTTATTGTGGGATGAGAAATGAGAGAGACAATTATAACCCGTGAAATTTACTTTTTATTCAACAAAGTTGACAAAATAACGATTGATTTGCGGTTGCAATTCAATTTATCCTTTGAACTGAAGTTGATAATCAGAAAGTCTTAATGAACAATGCAATTCATTTTTATTAAACAAAATTGACGAAATAACGATTGATTTGTGATCACAACTCAATTAATCCTTTGAACTTTAAAGTTTATGATCAGAAAATTCCTTAATAATAACTCTATTAATGTCTGTGATATTCGAATTCAAAAATTCATAGAATATTTATCTCTTTTACGACAGACTATCTCTATCTAATAGTGGTTGAAATATACTAGGTCAATCTGCATGATATTATCTGAGTGTTGCAAACTGTGTGAATAAGGTGAGTAGCGAATTGAGCGGAAAAAGAGAAAGAGCATCCACTTAAAAGATTGAGTTCAATAGGCCTTCTATCAAACATTTTTCTGTTAATTACTTACTGGATCCTGCAACAGATGCCAATGGTTTTATTAGTTTCTCTTACTATGTATGCAAGCTGAAGGTAGGTTGTACATTAAAAGGATCTTTAATTATTCTTTTGGCATATCACATTGACTCAAAGTCAGGAGATGGTGAATTGTCAAAACCCAATCAAAATCAAAGACAAGCTACATAATGGAATTCATAATTTCATAGTGCGAACTGACAAAGTGTTCCATCAAGGATTTCCAATCTGTCTACACAAAGGACAAAACAACTGCTCATATTCATGGCTGTCAACAATCTTAATTATTATTCTCAAGGCTTTTCAGATCCACGTTTAAAAGAACGGTAAAATGAAAGTTTTACCAGTTACCACTCCTTAATTCCATCATAATGAATATAGAACGTTTAACACGATTTAATGGGTGATTTGTTGAAGTTTTACTTTATATGCTTTACCTTCCACCCAAATGAAACAAAAACCTTAAAGCACTTCAACTTTTTCAAGCCCACCAATTTCATACGTTCTCTTCATGGCCTATGACGTAGAACTATAAACATAACATTTAATTTTAGAGAGGATTAAGTGTCAAAAGCTGAAACGCAAATTATTAACTAAAATAGTTATAACTTTGATCGATAGAAGTTATAGGCTCCATAAAATATCAACAAAAACACTTATTTTGAGCCTGTCGACGTGCCAACTGGTTTCCCATTGAGAATCATTTTCTGGCCTAAAATTCACTATTTGAGCGCGTCTTGGGGTTGTTTAAATTTTTGCCCCTTTTTCCTATTTTATTTAGGGTCATTTCTTTTTATTTTTAATTAATCAACAATTAGGATTTTATTTTTAATTAATTAATTTTTATTTTCTTGTTTATTGAGAGTCTTGTAGGGTTGGCTGTACCACCTATATAAACATATTATTCGTTTTTTTTAAGATATAGAACGATGATTTTTAATTTTTCCTTCAAATTTTACAAATAAGTTTCTATAATTGAGACTTGTTTATCAACCTAACGATATAGTCTGTGCAACCTTATTTTACGCAACTGCTACATCACTCCAAACAAACTAGTTGTCGGAACTAATGGATAACTAAGCTACAAATATAAAACATTATTGTTGAGATGGAAATTATTTGTGAAAGTAAATGAAACTTTAATTCATGCCTATCAACTTTGAGATAACATATGCCTACGATTGGGAAAATTTTGTTTGTAAATAAACGTAGTTGAGTTGTTAATTCAAGATTAGCGTGCTTATTGCCCGCGCAAGGCCATATCAAGATGGCACGGAAGGGCAGTTGTTTAACTAATCTTAACGTATGTCGGATGCTTACTTTAAGTTTGTTAACTGCTCATTTAAAATGCTTGCCATAAGTTTGTATAACTTGCTTCACGCAGTCAACACGTTTTTCAAAAGGGTGGGTGCTTTTAAGTTTTCCTTTATTAATATTCTTTTGCCTTCGTCAGCTAGAATATGAAACGGACATATTTAAAAGACTAAGTTTTTTTTTTTTTTTTTCCTTTTTCACTAGTATATTTAAACAGTTAATAATTTCAACTATATTTGAAACTTTAAAATGTCGATCAGATAAAGATTCAATGGTCATTTTATTAGTTTTTGGAGAGACTCAAATGCAAGAGTTATAAAATTTTTTTTTTTTTTTTTTTTTTTTTTGTGTATTAGAACATCTAGTAATGGTTAAATTGTTCATTCAAATGATGTAAATCAATTGGTGAAGAGTGTCCGAAAGTAGATTGTGCCACAGGCAGGAGTACTCAAAGGTAGCTAATTAGTCATTACTAAACTTTCTATGATTCTTCCATCGATTTATATATTTTACACTCAAATACATTTATTGTACTGCTAGCTAAACCACAGGAAGAGATTCCTGCATCAATTCACAATTCACATTGTAATTTTCGAAAAGCATGAAACAGTCTTTCAGGTGTTGGGGAAGATGCTCTTTGCTCAACAATTTCCAAGGTTGGTTGATTGTGACCTCGTTTGGCATATTTCTCCCAAATTCTGAGAGATCCCACTGTCACCAACCCCCGTTTTAAAAATGTGATTACCAATTGGGAACAACAAAGCAACTCGTTATTGACTTGACTTGCTTTGTTGCCAAATTACGACTGTTTAATTGGACGGTGTTTTCAGGTACTTCAACTTAATCAATCCAAAATATTGGATTTAACGAATTGTCTGGCAGTAAGAAGAGTGCTTCTTTTATTGACTTTTGAATTAAATTTTGTGATTACTTATTATATTTAGACTATCTAATTATTTAAATTAGGGATTAAACATTTGTGATTTACTAAATAACCTGGATATCTGGTTATAAAAAAAAAAAAAAAAAAAAAATAATTGGATTTGATCAAACAACTAGTTGTAGGATACCCACAAACTAGCAGTTAATTGGTATTTGCAGACTACAGCGAGTTAATTAAATCTAAAGCATTCTGTGCAACTGTACATATCATCAAGTTGATGTCAAATCGAAAACCTTATAATAAAAAAAACTAATATTTGAGTTAAAGGTTAATTGTAATTTGTATCTCACTTAATTTCTTCAAGTTGTCGGTGAAGGCCGCAGGAACCTTAAAAATTAAGTTTATTTGACTTTGTTATAATTAATTATAAGATGGGTTAGCTTATAATAGCCGTCATTAAAGATAGATTAATTAAGGAAGTTAAGAATTTATAATTCTGGACCGCCTAGATGTCACTAGATATGTCTAAGTTTTATATTCTCCTGGGTTGGCTAGATTTAGCCAAAGTATATGACATAACAAGCTGCATATATTTAATTACTAAAAACTAATTAATATTTAAATTCCTCAAAGCTAACCACCAATCGTGTGTGGCTCTGTTATACATAATATTGATAGTAATATTGTAAGTCGCAAAGCACAAATTATAATCTATCAAATAGTTCAATTTGTAAATAAAAATATTAAGATTTCAATAAATGGATTTTGAACAATCATGTTTTATAAATCCATAATTGTGTTAAATTTTTATTAATTATTTGTGAAAAATTTTGTTCGTTTTGACTGGGTTGAATACATATAATATAAAAGAATCAACCTAAGTGTGACATCAATAATGCAAATGTAACGTCAAAGAGGGAATTAAAGAAAATTTCTCACCGACATCCCGCAAAATAAATTTGAGACCAATTAATAATTTATTTCCTTGTGGCTTCAAATTGATGGACATGGACATGCATGGTGCTTTGAATATTTTAAGGCTAGTGAGTGGTACAATATTGAAGCTTTTATTTATTTATTTTATGATTAAAGTGTAAAAGCCAGTTTATACGTACTTCAACTAATCTTTAAGATTCATTAAACATATCCTGGTCAGATAAGTCACAAATGTAATAAATGATCACTTAATTATACTCGAACACAAAATCTTTAGATAACCTAAGGTCTTGTCAAGTGTTACCATCAGGCTACAAGCCAATTGGTTTGGAGCTTTAATTTTGATGCTAAAGTTTGTGTTTTGTGATTATATTGGCCTTAGCGAAGATTAGGGTTTATAATAAAAAACACAATTAAGACCTATTTACTTTTATCATTTGAGTGCATATGAAAGATATTGTATTATTTGATCTTTTTATTTATGAGGATTCCATCTAATTTAAACCAAATTTTAGTGATAATATCTATATCAGTAGTGCTAGTCTTACAAAGAAGCTTACAAAGGAGACATACAAAGTTAACCTCCACCCTTTATCTTCATCATTTCTCTCTCTCTCCCTCTCTTTATCTATTTTCGTTTTTCCTTTGTTTTTTTCTTTACTTTGTAAGCTTCTTTGTAAAGTTTTTTTGTAAGGATAGACTTATTCTATATATATATATATAGTTGTACATTAATTACTCAACTCATTTTCTTATTATCAAACACGTATTTATGAGTAGTAAAATGAGGTGAACATTTTGATGTAGATATATGAATAATGAATTTGACTCAAATTGAAGTGTATTTTTTATCTCACCGTCCAAAATCATCATTTATTGGCTGGACTCTCCATCCACATTTAAGTAAACTCGCGACACCTAAAAACAGAACCAATTCACTCGTGTTAAATTAACGTTTCACACCTGCAACCAATCACCAAAATCCACGTATTATTACAACTGTTTTACTTGCCAACTCCTTATTTCAACCAGTCATTCCCTTCCCAACCTGAAGGTCCTGAACCTGAACCCCTTCCCCGGTTCCTCCTCCTCTTCTCTTCTCTCTAAAATCAACTAATTAAATTACCAAAAAGCACCTGAATGATTCTGATCATCATCAACGGTCAACGATTATGATTACCGCCAAGACTTTAACCTACTATCTCTCCGAACACCCCTCAATTATCAACTTCCGTTGGAGCCACACCCAATCCTGGGGCTCCACCTGGTCATTCCTTTTCACATCCATAACCCTCTATCTCGCCCTATCCATCCTCCTCCACCTCTTGTTAGCTCTCCTCATCCGACGTGGTCGTCCCGTTTCACTTGGTCCAATCCCCGCTCTCCACAGCCTCTCCATGTCCGTTATATCCGCTACCATTTTCGCCGGAATCCTTCTCTCAACGGCTTCCGAAATACGGGAGACTCGCTGGTTTTGGCGCCGCAGCAAGACGACTCCGCTTCAGTGGCTACTTTGCTTCCCTCTTGGAACACGTCCTTCCGGGCGTGTCTTCTTTTGGTCATATATTTTCTACCTTTCTCGCTTCATCCACATGTGGCGTACTTTCTTCACCATCCTACGACGTCGAAAACTGGTGTTCTTCCAGTTATTCTACAATTCAATTTTAACGCTTACGTCGTTCTTGTGGCTTGAGTATTCTCAGTCATTTCAGGTTTTAGTGATTCTGTTTACGACGTTGGTATATTCAGTTGTTTATGGGTACAGGTTTTGGACGGGAATAGGATTACCAAGAGCTTGTTTTCCGTTGGTTATAAACTGTCAAATGGTGCTTTTGGGATGCAACTTGGTGTGCCATATTGGAGTTCTCCTGCTGCATTTTATGAAGAACGGAGGGTGTAATGGGATTGGGGCCTGGGTTTTTAACTGTGTCTTGAATGCTGCGATTTTGCTTCTGTTTTTGAAGTTCTATGTCCAGATGCATTTAGAGAAGAGAAAATTTTGTTTAATTGCAACCAAAGGGGAAGACAATGTCAAACTTAAAGATTATTAGACTTCTTTTTTGGCTCTCTAAATTCTGGGAAATCCAGTTTGTCTTTTGTAGAAAAAGAAAAAAACGTAGAAGACGATATTGTATGATAATGGGCATGGTAAAGTTGTATATTAAATAATCTCTAGGCAAATAGGTTCTTTGTTTTGTTTTATTATTGTAAATGAATATGCTTAATAGAATAATGCTGGAATTCAGAATAAAAATCGAATTGTTAAGTTTAATATTTATTTCATTTTAGAGAACTCATTTATCCCACCACAAGTATATGAAAGAGTAGTTGATTAAGGTGTTTATACAGTATTTAATTAATTGGTCCACATCAATACCAATTAAAATTGCAGAGTGGAAACCAAATGTCTCAATCAAGAAAAAATTAATCTTGTCCAATTAGTGTTATCAATAGTGATATTGTGGGCTAAAGCGTATACCAAGGGAATAATAAGGGATCTAGCTTTTAGAGGGTGGAGTAAAGGAGACAATAGTTGGTGGCCAAATTAAAGAAAAGTAAACAAGAGCAATACTGGTAGTGGTCTGCCATACCAGGTCCACACCCATCTCCCTAGATTTCTGTAAGACCCCTTCAGCCCAGCATTTACATATTACAAGTTCCAATCTACGTTGTGAAGAGTGAGACCTGATCGATTTGAGAAAGTCAAGAATTGTATTTCTGCTATATCAAAAATTATTTACACTTGTAAGCATGAGCATGATTCATGTATGAGAGTTTCTGTAACGGGGTGATGATATTCCAGGATTCAGCTCATCATCACCACTCCGCATTACAAAACAACCATAAAGAAGAAAAGCTAGGTAACATTATCATTATCATTCCGGCAACATGATCTAACATAGTTAAACTCCTGTTATGCGTATAATTATTAGATTCATGGCCCGGATGAGTTTTCTGACGAAGATTCAAGATCATCACTCATGATACATGCATCAAACTACCAGGAAAAAAAAAGAAAAAGAAAAAAACCAAGTGGGTCACAAAGGATAGCAAGCTGCTTGATTCTTAATTCACAGCTACTGCTTTATCTACATTTACTTTTCAATGTTACAAGGGGCGTTCCGTTAACTTTTTTTTTCTTTTTTTTTGGTTAACTGAAGTGTTTGGATCAGTTTGTACATATCTCAATCTTAACAAGCCCGAAGGATCAGGTAAGCTACAATGTTATTGTGGTAGATAGCCCAAGGTTTAAACCTATAAACTTTAAAAAATTAGCAAATCTTCTTAACCATCAAACCAACTCTTACGGTAGTTTCGTTAACTTTTTGGTGACAACTTCTAGGGAAAATCTACCACATGTCATAGTCTCTCTGTCTTGCTTGAAAGAATATTGAAATTGATATTTTTCGAAAACACCAATTGAAATAGGAAGAAAGAGACATAAAATTACACATTTAAATTGATGGGCAGAAAGAAATAGACTTAAAATTACACATTTCTCATGCTATATTAAATTGATGGGCAGAAAGAAATAGACTTAAAATTACTCATTTCTCATGCTATATTACTATAAATTTTAGGTTTTTATATGGTGACAATTGACAAATCCCACTGCCAATCATGTACTACAATGCGGGCTAGGGATGGCAAGACCCTGGGCCGCCAAGCTTGGTTTTCAAATACTGGGTCTGGGCCTGCATTTTAATTTTAATCAATTATCATTAATATATTTTTATTAATTATTTTTATGATTATCAAATCTGGACCAGGTCCGGATCGAGCTTCTGGGTTTATTGTGCCCGCGTTCAGCAAGGTAATATACTCCAGTTGTAGTATTTCGGCCCAGGTCAGCTAGCCCGATTGGGTGATGCTTTCCTTTTTTGCCATCCCGGTTCCGTCGGACAAGATCATCGCTATTTTTCAATGTTAAATACATCTCTATTCTATTTTTCAAAAAAATTCTTTAAATCATATTTACTAGAGTTTTTATTTGCATCCGTTTTTCTCCCAATTTAAACTTCGTTAGCCAAAATTAGAAATAGACATTAACTAGGGTGTCTGAAATAGGTTATACACATCTTAATTAATCTTCAGAGTTTTAAAATTATCGATCGGATAAGAGAATAGTCACCTCATCGATGTTTGGGAAGACTCAAATTTAACAGTTTGTAAAATCTCATTTTTTCGTTACCATCAGAACATCTAAAGGTAATAAATTGTCCATTCAAAGGATGTAAATTAATTGGTGAAGACGTGTCCGAAAGCAGATTGTGCCATAGGCAGGAGTACTCAAAGCTAGCTAATAGTCATTACTAAACTTTCTTATGATCTTCCCATCGATTTTATATTTTACACTCAAATACATTATATTGTACTGCTAGCTAAACCACAGGAAGAGATTCCTGCATCAATTCACAATTCACATTGTAATTTTCGAAAAGCATGAAACAGGCTTTCAGGTGTTGGGGAAGATGCTCTTACTCAACAATTTAAATTCAAGGTTGGTTGATGTGACCTCCACCCATATAGTTTGGCATATTTCTCCTAAATTCTGGAGATCCCACTGTCTGTCACCAAACCCCATTTAAAAATTGCATTACCAATTGGAACAACAAAGCAACTCGTTATTGACTTGACTTGCTTTAGTTGCCAAATTACGACTGTTTAATTGGACAGTGTTTTCAGTATAGTCAAATTAATCAATTCAAAAAAATATTGGATTTAACGATTTGTCTGACGGTAAAAAGGTATGTTTCTTTATTAACTTTTGAATTCAAATTTTGAGATACTTATTATATTGGTAACTTATCTAATCATTTAAGTTAGAGATTAAACATTTGTGATTTACGTAAATTGAACTGAGAAACCTGGTTATAAAAAAAAAAGGATTTGATCAAATAAAACTATTTGTAGAAAAACCACAAGTAGCAGTTAATTGGTTTTGCTAATACGGCGAGTTTATTAAATCTCAAGCATTCTGTGACTGTACATATCATCAAGTTGATGTCAAATCGAAAACCCTATAATAAAAAAAACTATATTTGAGTTAAAGGTTAATTGTAATTTGTATCCACTTAATTTCTTCAAGTTGTCGGTGAAGGCCGCAGGAACCTTAAAAATTAAGTTTATTTGACTTGTTATATTAATTATAAGATGGGTTAGCTATAATAGCCGTCATTAAAGATAGATTAATTAAGGAAGTTAAGAATTTATAATTCTGGACCGCCTAGATGTCACTAGATATGTCTAAGTTTTATATTCTCCTGGGTTGGTATTAGCCAAAGTATAGACAAAACAAGCTGCATATATTTAATTACTAAAAACTAATAATATTTAAATTCCTCATAGCTAACCACAATCGTGTGTGGCTTGTTATACATAATATTATAGAATATTGTAAGTCGCAAAGCACAAATTTAATTATATCTCAAATGTTCAATTTGTAAATAAAAATATTAAGATTTCAATAAATGGATTTTGAACAAATGTTTTATAAATCCATAATTGTGTTAAATTTTTATTAATTATTTGTGAAAATTTTGTTCGTTTTGACTGGGTTGATACATATAATATAAAAGAATCAACCTAAGGTGGACATCATAATGCAATAACGTCAAGGAGGGAATTAAAGAAATATCTCACCGACATCCCGCAAAATAAATTTGAGACAATTAATAATTTATTTCCTTGTGGCTTCAAATTGATGGACATGGACATGCATGGTGCTTTGAATATTTTAAGGCTAGTGAGTGGTACTGTTGAAGCTTTTTATTATTATTTTATGATTAAGTGTCTCAGCCAGTTTATAAGTACTTCAACCAATCTTTAAGATTCATTAAACATATCCTGGTCAGGTAAGTCACAAATGTAATAAATGATCACTTAATGTAACTCGAACACAAAATCTTTAGATAACCTAAGGTCTTGTCAAGTGTTACCATCAGGCTACAAGCCAATTGGTTTGGAGCTTTAATTTGATGCTAAAGTTTGTGTTTTGTGAATATTGGCCTTAGCGAAGATTAGGGTTTATAATAAAAAACACAATTAAGACCTATTTACTTTATCATTTGAGTGCATATGAAAGACATTGTATTTTGATCTTTTTATTTAGGGATTCCATCTAATTTAACCAAATTTTAATGATAATATCTATATGTATAGTTGTACACATAATTACTCAACTCATTTTCTTATTATCAAACACGTATTAGATAGTAAAATGAGGTGAACATTTTGATGTAGATATATGAATAATGAATTTGACTCAAATTGAAGTGTATTTTTTATCTCACCGTCCAAAATCATCATTTATGGTGGACTCTCCATCCACATTTAAGTAAACTCGCGACACCTAAAAACAGAACCAATTCACTCGTGTTAAATTAACGTTTCACACCTGCAACCAATCACCAAAATCCACGTATTATTACAACTGTTACTTGCCAACTCTTATTTCAACCAGTCATTCCCTTCCCAACCTGAAGGTCCTGAACCTAACCCCTTCCTCCTCCTTCTCTTCTCTCTAAAATTAACAATTAAATTACCAAAAAGCACTGAATGATTCTGATCATCATAACGGTCAACGATTATGATTACCGCCAAGACTTTAACCTACTATCTCTCCGAACACCCCTCAATATCAACTTCCGGGGAGCCACACCCAATCTGGGGCTCCACTGGTCATTCCTTTTCACATCCATAACCTCTATCTCGCCCTACCATCCTCTCACCTCTGTTAGCTCTCCTCATCCACGTGGTCGTCCCGTTTCACTTGGCAATCCCCGCTCTCCACAGCCTCCATGTCCGTATATTCCGCTACCATTTTCGCCGGAATCCTTCTCTCTAGGCTCCGAAATACGGGAGACTCGCTGGTTTTGGCGCCGCAGCAAGACGACTCCGCTTCAGTGGCTACTTTGCTTCATAATAGTGGTTGAAATATACTAGGTCAATCTGCATGATATTATCTGAGTGTTGCAAACTGTGTGAATAAGGTGAGTAGCGAATTGAGCGGAAAAGAGAAAGAGCATCGACTTCTTCTAGGGTCATCCACTTAAAAGATTGAGTTCTAATAGGCCTTCTATCAAACATTTTTTTCCTGTTAATTTACTTTACTGGATCCTGCAACAGATGCCAATGGTTTTATTAGTTTCTCTTCACTATGTATGTAAGCTGAATGGTAGGTTGTACATTAAAAGGATCTTTAATTATTCTCTTGGCACATCACATTGACTCA